TTGTGTGGAGTATAGGCCGAGCTGCTAGTGGCTCCCACAGATAAGGTTGCTCAACTCTTTCCGTTGTAAGACCCATGGACAGTGAGCCCTGCCCCCCTCGTTTCAGACTCGTACTGCGAGACGCTGCCTGTGGACGGGCCGCCCTCCTTCCGGGGGCAGTCAGTGAAGTATGTGTACAAGCTGACCATCGGCTGCCAGCGGGTGAACTCTCCCATCAAGCTGCTGCGGGTGCCCTTCCGGGTGCTGGTGCTGCACGGTAAGGCCTGCTGTGGTACTCTCCCGGCAGGGCAGGGCATGCCCAGCCCACTGCCAGGCTGTGACCCTTTCTGCGCTCTCTCCCCAGGGCTCAAAGAGTATCAGTTCCCCCAGGACGAAGTGGTCGCCCCCTCAAACCCCTTCCTGGAGGAGGAGGAGAGGGTGAAGAAAGACTCCCGGCTGGCGGACCTGGCCACGGAGCTGCTGATGGCAGCCACCTCCCGGCGCAGCCTGCGTAGGTTGTTCCCCACCTGATCGTACCGTCCCTCCCTGCCCCTTCCAGCTCGTGCCTGGTCTGTGCGGTCTCTGCCCTGTCCCCAGCGGGCGTGCGCACTGCTGCCTATTCGTCTCCCATTCCCAGCTCCCTGGATTCCTCAGCAGCGGCTCTGCAGATCTTTCTTACCAGCCAATCCAGCAGCCTCGCTGCGTGTCCAGAGCCCTGACGTTCTGACAGCTGCCCCACGCTGCCCTGCCTGTGTAAGGCCCTAACAGATCAAAGCATCTCTGTCCATAGCCAGCCAGGGCCCTGTTGTGACCAGCGTGCACAGTGCGTGTGCTGAGGGGTCCCCGATGCTCCCCGAGAGCTGTCCTCGGCAGGAGTCCAGTCTTTCAGGGGCACAGCCATGCTCTTGGGCTGGGGCTTTGTTCCAGGCGGGGAGTAGCAGCAGCCCTGGCTCATCTGCCCGTCTCCTTTCTCCACAGACGTGTATAACATCAGCAACACCCGGGGGAAGGTGGGCAAGTTCGGGATCTTTAAGACTGTCTATAAGATTGGAGAAGACATCCTCGGGACATTTAACTTCTCGGAAGGGGACATCCCCTGCCTGCAGGTGAGTGCAGCTCCTGCTTCCCGGCCACGCGGCCAGGCAGCCCGTCCCTTGTCTGGCCAGGGGTGCACGTGGGCAGGCGGGCTCGCAGCAGTGCTGCAGACACTGGGCTGCTTTGGGCGCTTCTGGGCAGTCCAGAGTCCTGCCTTGGGCTTCCTGGTGGGTTTGGTTTGGGGGCTGCGAGCTGTTCAGAGCTAGGCCCCTCAGAGCCTTCTGCCGAGCTCTCGGCTGGGATCGCGCAGCGGTGTCTGAAAGCCAGGGCGCTTTGCCCTCCCCCATGTGTGTGCCTGCTCCCCAGTACTCGGTGAGCCTGCAGACGGAGGAGAGTATCCAGGAGGAGTTCCAACGGCGGCGTGGGCAGCCCGTCTCCTACAGCACACACGCCCGCCACCAGGAATCCTGTCTGCATACAGCCAGGAGCAGCTTCAGCCTTCCCGTCCCGCTGAGCTCCACGCCCGGCTTCACCACCAATATCGGTGAGTGCCCGGAAGGGAGCTGCTCGTGCTCACGGCTGGGGGGGGGGTTGGCATCGCCCCACTGCCATCCCTAGAGGCTTCCGCCCCTGCCTGCTCAGACGCCTGCTCAGACTCCTGCCCTGCCCTGTGCTGGCATACCCCCATCAGAGACAGGCGCCAGAGAGGAGACAGCTGTACCGGTGCTGGGGGGGTTGCTGCCTGTCACGGAGTCCCCGAGCGATGCTCTGGAACTGCTCCCCACGAAGCCAGGCAGGACTCTGGGGAAGTCTCCTCTCTGGGAGCAGCCTGTCTGCAGGACACACAGCTCACACAGCTTCCACCTCCCTGGGTCTGACCTCGGAGCATTCAGCCTCCTCTGCTCCTCCGTGCGCTTCCCACAGCGAATCCGCCCAGGCGGGGTCCTGGGGAAGCCAGAGGGTCCTGCCCCACAACTTCGCAGTCAGACGCGACTCTCAGCCAGCCAGTAAAACAGAGGTTTATTAGACGACAGGGACATGGTCTAACACAGAGCTTGTAGGTGCAGAGAACGGGACCCCTCAGCTGGGTCCATTTTGGGGGGCAGTGAGCCAGACAACCACGTCTGCCCTTCACTCCATGTCCCAGCCAGCCCCAAACTGAAACTCCCTCCAGCCCCTCCTCCTCTGGGCTTTGTTCCTTTCCCGGGTCAGGAGGTCACCGGATCCCTTTGTTCTCCAACCCTTTAGCTCTCACCTTGCAGGCGGGACGGGCCCAGGCCATCAGTTGCCAGGAAACAGGGTGTCGGCCAGTCCCTGTGTCCAGACCCCTGCACACACCTGCCCTCTAGGGCTCTGCAAGGATCATACACCCTTACCCCACCCCCTAGATACTTAAGAACTGCCTAGGGGAAACTGAGGCACCCCCACACTATTCAGAGGAAACATTAAGAACAGTCCCACTCCGTCACACTGCCCTCTTAGAAAGGGGGACCCCTTCACCAAGCTGGCCAGAGCTAATGTGGCTGCTGAGCGGGGACCCCCTGCCGTGCCGTCCAGGTGTCGTCGCACTCGCAGCCTCTGACCCTCCTTTCACCCACAGTGTCTCTGAAGTGGAGGCTGCACTTTGAGTTCGTGACCTCCCGGGACTCAGGGGAGGCCCACACGGTCCCTGAGAACCCGTCGGAAACCATCACCTGGACTGGGGTGGAGCAAATCGAAGTGGATACCTTCAGCTGGGACCTGCCCATCAAAGTCCTGCCGACCAATCCCGTCCTGGCCTCCTATGTGTCCCAGTTCTCCAGCACAAACTCCATCACTATCTGAGCGGGGGCAGGATCTAGGTGGGAGCCTGGGGCGCCATTCACATCACCTGCTAGGGATGGCAGCTGCCGGGCGGTGGGGCACAGGCCCACTCGGAGGCCCTGTGCCAGCTGGGCGGCCCTGCCTGTTTGAGAGACAACACTCTGTGCCCAGCACTAGCTGGCCTCTCCTTCCTGAGCTGCGTCTCTGGGCCGGGAGCCAGGCTCCTGGTCCCCTGGGTGTGCACAGGAACCCCAGTGCTCTCTGTAAGGGGGATGACTAGCAGTACGCGGCCTGGCTGCTTTCTCCCCAGTGCGGGGCCTTGTGCCCAGCCCAGGGTCGCCCTTCCAGTGACTACCCGCACCAGTCTCCAAGGAAGCCCACGTCCATTCCCGCTGGGATCTCCCCCTCTCCTCGCCACGGGAAGGACCCCATTTCCAGCTGACACATGTCCAGTGCCCTTGCTGGGAGCAACAGCCCTCCAGCCTGTGACTGCCCTGAGGCGTGTCCATCCCGTATGTGAACTGCAGCCCCCTCTGGTAGAGTCAGCTCCCGGCCTGGGGCAACCCCAGCAGAGGGGAGGCAGGTGCCCTGCACGCCCAAGCTGAGCTCCTGCATGTAGCTGGCTTCCCCAGGGAGATGCCAGGGTCCCACGGAGGCAGGGATAAGCGCTGCTGCTCCAGGGCCTTAGACCAAGGGGCAGGCAGGCTGCCATCCCCCCCTGGGCTGGGAGCAAGGAGATCCTGGCCCGGAGGCTGGGTTCTTGGCCCTGCTCTCCCTAGGGCGGATGAGTGGTGCCTCTTCTCTCCCTGCTTCTGGGCCGGGCCAGGCAACGAGGTCAGTGTAACTCCATCGCTCGGGCAGTGAAATCCCCCCTGCAGCTGAGCGACGTGTCACACCCCCCTGCCCCCAGGTGCGGGCAGCACTGGGTCCCATCGACCGACCGGCACCCGGGGAGAGCCCCGCCCATCAGGGCAGGCAGCAGCTTCGCTGAAGCCCTGGGGCACCCAGCGCTGTGCTCCAAGTGCTGGGATTGACCGGGGCCAGGCAGCAGAGGGGCTAGGCCCGACCCCTCCAGGCTCCTGAGTTCTCTCCCCGCTGTCTGCTCTGGGTGTGCAAATGAATAAACACCTGAGTGCCCAGCCCACAGCCTTCACAGGTCCTTACAGCAGCCCTGGCTCTGCTCTGCGCCGGACGGGGTGGGGGAGGTCCCTGTAACAGCCCTAGCTCTGCCCTTTGCGGGGCATGGATCTCTGTAACTGCCCCAGCCCTGGGGTGGGGGGAGGTTCCTGTAACTGCCCCAGCCCTGCCCTGTGCTGAGGGAGGGGTCCCTCTGGCAGCCCTAGCTCTTCCCTGGGGGGATGGATTCCTGTAACTGCCCCAGCCCTTGGGGAGGTGTGGGGGGGATCCCTGTAACTGCCTCAGCCCTGCCCTGTGCTGGGGGGACGGATCCCTGTAACTGCCCCTGCCTGGTGGCGGGGTGCTTCCTTGCTGTCCGACAGGCCATTCCTGCCACGTCCCATCCTGGCTCTGAGCAAACGGCCCCGGTGCTGCTGCGTGTGGCCCGGCCTGCCCCTTGTGGGAGGTGCAGCGTGTGCTCCGTGCAGGGGGTGTGATATGGGGCCCTTTCCTGCTATTGGGAGCTGTCCCCTCCCAGACAGTCACTGACCAGAGACCTCGTGGGATTTAATTCAGACTTTTATTGCAAGAACAGAAACATCTGCACAAGGTTCTGCACAGCATAGATGTGGCGCTGGCCGGGCCAGGCTGCCGGGGCAGCCAGCTCACAGCCGGCGCTCAGGTCACTTCAGCTCACTGAGCCTCAGCAGGGCTCCTGGGCTCACACACTTCCCATCTGCCCGCTCTCGCCCAAGGGGGCCAGACTCCTCTCCTAGGAATGGCCTGGGGCACCCCGTGCCCCCAGCACACGGCTGCCTCCGGGCCGAGCTCTCCTGCACCAGGGCTGGGGGGCGGCACGTGGTGCAGGCGGGCGTCTTCCTCCCCAGGGTGCAGGGGCTGCAGTGGTTCCAGAGGAGGCGTTTGCCCCCACACCTCAACGGCAGGACAGAGCCTCACCCATTTCACCAAAAGGCAAAGGGGCCGGCAGGGGAGGTGCAGTGACTTTGCAAGCAGGGTGTGTGCGTGCAAAGGGCCCGGGCCTCCACAGCACTCGCTGGCCCTGTGTCACTGCCCTGCACTGGGGCTGCTGGCCTGCGGCAGGGGGAGGCCCAGGGTGCAGTTCCTAGGTGATGCAGGGAGAGACGGAGGCTGCCACAGTGCTGTGCAAATTCGATCCTTTCTACGGGGAGATATTAGAAAAGCAGCTCTCCACCACCTCAGCAGCCAGAAATCGGCATGCCTGCTCCCTGCAGGGCTGTGTGCCTGGAGGGAGCCCAGCTCGGCTGCCCAGCCCAGCCCCCAGGAAGGCATCGCGGACTCCTCCTTGCTCTGCTTGGTGCCCACAGAGCATTGAGGCTATTGCACTGGCTGAGCTCACAGATCCAGGGCACTCAGACAAGCATCCCCTGCTTCCCAGGCCTTCCTCAGAGGTGTTTTGGCTGGGGTTTGAAAAAGGGAGCAAGGGGCTCGCCCCCCCCCCCCCCGTCTCTGCCGGGACCTCCCTTCGTGTGTGTGGAGCCTGCGCTGGGGCGCGGGGGGGGAGCCCTGCTTTGGTTCAGGAAGCTGAAGGCAAAGGCAAAGCCGGGGCAAGGCAGTGCTAGGTTGTAAATATTAACTTAGAGATTCCAGTAGTGGGCGGCGAGTGGTTTCCCTGGAAGGCGGCTGCAGCGGCGTCCCACGGGACGTGGTGCAGGGACGGAACATGCAAGAGACGCGTCAGGGCGGTGGCGGTTCGCACTGGGCCGGGGTGGAGGCGGCACGTCCCCGCCTCTACCTGCTCAGCCGAGTCTCTAGCACCTTGTTGATCGTTGGCTCCGGGGTGCCGGCCGAGCCCCACTCGTGCTCCAGGCTGTTGACGCAAGGCAGGCTGGGGTTGGCTTTCTGCACCACCGAAATCTGGCAGGTCTGCGAGTCGTAGTGGGCCATGCACCAGTCTGGAAAATCGATGGGGTGCTGGGTGCTGGACAGGAGAGAAGGGAGAGGGGTGCTTTGTCTGCAGCCATCCTGCAGGAAGCGGGGAAGCTGCCTGGAAAGCCCAGACCCTACGGGGCATCGGGAGGGATCACAGGCCGGGCCAAGTGGCTCCTTAGTGCATTCCACTGACTCACCTGTAAGGTAAACGGGAAGCGCTTCCCTCCCCCAGGCCTGGCCACGGCCTAGCCCCGCTCCTGCGCCTCCCGGCTACCCCACAGGACAGCCTCTCTCCGGATTTCCTGTGCCAGTGATACTTCTCCCGGCCCCCTCCATGAACTGCCCCAGCCCTGAGCACAGCCCAGCCCCACGGTGCCCCGGTCTTACCTCCCCCGGCCTCCTCGCCTCTGCCTCCCAGCGCAAGTGGGGTGCAGCTGTCTGCTTGGGGTGCAGCTACGGCAGCACAAGGGAGATGCCATTTCCGTTCCCTGTAGGCCCCAGCCCCCACACAGGTCCCAACGTGGCCCTGCAGCCCCTTGCACAGGCGGGGTGCCGGGTGCCGACGCTCCGGCTTGCACCGCAGTGGGGCCTGTTTGCTTGTCACATGGACAGGCTGGCGCTTGCTCCGCATGCACGGCCCCCGCCACCAGGGGCTGATCCCTGACCGGGGCTCCTGGGGCAACCACAATAGATGGAACCACAGCAGCCACCCTCCCCGGCACGTCCCCACTTACATCTCACAGCAGCCCACGCCAACGGGATGGAGGCAGGTGCAGAGCAGGCAGGTGGTGCTGAGCCAGGACTCCCCCAGGGTGAACTGCTTCCCTTCATAGTGACAGGGAGCTGCAAGGAAGCCGGCCCCAATGAGCGCACATGACCCTGCCCACCCAGAGCATGACCCAGGGCCCCCCAGCTGCTCTGCAATGTGAGAACAGGCTGGGGACCCCCAGGCCTGCTGCCTTCTCTCTGCCATGGGAAAGGACGGGCTGAGAGCGTGACCCCAGGGCCCCATTGCCTGCCCCCGATGTGAGAAAGGGGGTGGGGGAGCGACCCCAGGTCCCCCAGCCTGCTCCGCAATATGGGAAAGGAGCTGGGAGAGTGACCCCAGGGCCCCCCACCTGCCCCCGATGTGAGAAAGAGGGGGGGTGACCCCAGGTCCCCCAGCCTGCTCCGCAATATGGGAAAGGAGCTGGGAGCGTGACCCCAGGGCCCCCCACCTGCCCCCGATGTGAGAAAGAGGGCGGGGGTGACCCCAGGTCCCCCAGCCTGCTCCGCAATATGGGAAAGGAGCTGGGAGCGTGACCCCAGGGCCCCCCACCTGCCCCCGATGTGAGAAAGGGGCTGGGGGAGCGACCCCAGGGCCACTCCACCAGCCCTGTGCCGCTGAAGATAACCAGTAACTCCCGCCCCACACTCATGCCTGGGCTCCGGCACCAGGCCGAGAAGCCCCGGCAGCTGTGGCCGGGGCCAGAGAGCAGACACGTTTCCACCTGTTTGCCTTCTTGGCTAGTCTCTGTGCCACGTCCTCCTGTGCTGTGAGACGCAGTGAGGCCTGGACCTGATGCAGACACGCGTCACTCCTGCCCACCCGCGGCTCTGCCCCTCGGCACGGCCCCAGCACTCCTGCTCGCCTGCAGGGACGGTGACCTCCGCTTTCCCTTCGCTACCTCGGCCGCGTGCCTTGCCCACGGCCCGGCTCTTGGCAGCAGCTAGGCCGTGGCCCAGCAGGCCGGCTCTCAGCCAGAGCCCAGGGGAGCTATGCTGTGGGCTACGGGCTGCTTTTCAGTCATCACTGGCCCGTAATCACACTCCCAAGGCTCAGCCCAATTTGTTTATTGCTTTGCAGCCCAGGAGCCCGGAGCTCCCACTGCCCTGACAACCCCAAGGAAAAGCTGAAGGCCTCTCCCAGCACCTGCACATCCCAGCTGTAATCTCCGCGGCTGCCTTACCTTGCGCCTGGAAATAACATTTCGCCTGGGACCCCTGGAGCTGGAGGAGGAAAGAGACCAGCAGGCAGATCCTGCCCCAGGCACAGGCAAGCTTCTGCCCCTTCCTGGCCATGGCAGCAGTTTGTGCTTGGACCCTTCTTAATCCTGATGAAGTCCCCCTGCTCCTCTCTCTCCGTCTCTGTGCTTTGCTCCTTCTCTCTCCCTCTCCTGTCTGAACGTCTCCTCTCAGTCCCACCAGGAGACATTTATAAAGTTCAGCTTTATGACCCTGGCCACCAGCTGTGCCCCACTGGAAAAGTTGTAAAACTCATTTCCTGATGTGAAAGGCATGAAAACAAGAGGTAGGATCAAGATTTTTAACAAGCTGTGAAAAGCTGATTCATGCCCTCCAGAACCGGCTCCAGTTGGAAATCCTGGCGGGTGCAAGGATTGGCAGAGAGGTCATGGAGCAGGGACCCTCTCTGGGTCTCCATGTGCAGGGTCACTCAGAGACAAACCACCAGGGTTGGCAGTGACGGGGGTCAAGGGAAAGAGGCCTTTGTGGAAGCTTCCCCGGTTCTGTTGAGCTGTCTCTCATCCCGGAAAACCTCCACCAGTGAGATTTCAGGGGGTGTTTTGTTTCTGTAGTGACCAGAACCTTCAGCTCCTGCAAAGCACTAACTAATTGGGCTTTGTCTCCTAATATTAACCAAGACAGTCAAGCGTCCATCGTGTGCAAAAGCAAGGAAACTAGCGCCCAGTCAAAAGATGAAGTTGCACACAAACCTGGCTACTATTCCCTGCAGAAAGCCCGGGACCAAAACTACCAAGCAACAAAGCAAACACACAGCCATCACCAGACAACACACCGACAACCCCCACGAGACCCAATGTGACTACAGCTACCAACAACAACCGGGGCCATGAGTACAGTCACACCATGACTTCGGCCATCCACAGAGACAATGGGTCGAATTAATACCTGGTGCAAACCCAATGGATTTCTCTGGAGTTCCATCAGGGATGAGCCCCCATGAGTTGGAGTTCAGAGCTTGTCTGAGCCTTCTCCCTTCACCAACCATGGCCACAGCCTCCCTGCCAGGATGCCCTCGTCTCCCTGATGAGCAGAGTGCCTCAGAGCTGCTGCAGAGCAGAGAGCTCGCCTGCCCCTGCGGGTCCGCACGCACGTGTCAGGGAGTTCACCCCTCTGGCACCCTTTGAGCAGCGGAGCACATTTGCACTCCTGGTTTTGTGGGTGCCCATCTCCCCACTGGTTGTCTCAAAGGGGCCGCAGGTGTGGGGGTGTGGCTGTCTGCTCTGCCCCTGCAATGCGCAGTGGGAGGGAGTGTTCAGTCCCCTCCTGTCACTCCCCCGCTGGTGAGACACCGCTGTGGCCAGGCCAGAGGCGGGTTCTGCCAAGTGACAGGAGCCGCAGTGCAGCTAACTTCAGTGTCCTTGGGGGAGGAAAGGCACCAGCGACTGACTGGGACCCTGAACTTCAGACGCGGAATCTCCATCAAATGGGGGGATTTATCAGATGAGGAAATGAAAACCCTCAAACTCCACATGGAGGTTGCGGTAATAAATGTGCAAGATGCGTGACGGCGTGGACGCGTGAGCCACCTGGTTAATGGCAGGTCCCGGGTTACTGGTGCCAAGCAGTAACCGCTCAGAGCCTGGAAACAGCCCGAGAGAGGCCTGGAGGTAGGAGCCAGGTATACAGCAGGGAACAAGCAGGAAGGAATTGGGAGGCTAAGGTGAATTAGTAGAAAAAAGAACCAGAGACATGAGAACAAGAGATTCTTGGAGCAGATGAGAAGCAGGAAGCCTGTGAGCGAACCAGCTGATCTGCCAGATCAGCAGGGCATACAGAGAGCAATCATGGAAAATAAGGATATTGCTGAGAGGCGACACGATTTCTTTTCGTGTCTGTTGGGGAGATTCCTGTTCTGGACCTGCTCCTTTCTGGTAAAAAGGATGCGGTGTTTCCAGAGACCGAGGTGTCGGAAGTGGGGATACCGGAAGAAATTGATAAATCAAAGAGCCACAAGTCCCCCAGCCCAGATGGCACAGCCCTGAGTTCTGCAGGAAATTACACATGAAGTGGTTGATCTGCTAACACAAGTTTGCAACTGCTCCTTAGAATCAACTACTGTGCCAGAGGGCTAGAGGGTAGTAGCCAGACTGGGTCGGACTCAAGGTCCTCTCTCTCTCCCAGTGGCCTTTGCCAGCTGCTGCAAAGGGAGGTGCAAGAACCCCTCAGTAGGAGATGTGGGATATTTGTCCCTGCACTAGGGCTTATCCTAATTCCCAATAGTTAGGGGTTGTTTTAAACCCTGAAGTACGAGGTTTAATGTTCCGTATGGAATTCTTGTTAGAAATAACAATTATTATTCTGGATATTCTTCTCATCCACATAAAATATCCAGTCTCTTAGAATTGTGCTGGTTTTGGTCTCAATGGTTTCCTGTACCAGTGAGTTCCACAGTTTAACCATGCATTATGTAAAAAAGTATTTCCTTTTGTCAGTTTTGAATTTGCCTCCTTTCAGTTTCATTGAATGTCTCCTTGTTCTTGTGTTATGAGACCCGCAGCTTCTATTCTCTTGCCCTCCCTTCTCTAGAGCAGACAAGGTGTGGGAGGGGATATCTTATATTGGACCAACTTCTGTTGGGGAGAGAGACAAGCATTTGAGCTCACCCCGAGCTCTTCCTCAGATCTGTGTAGCTCCTAAGTGTGTCTCTCTCACCAACAGCCGCTGGCCCAATACAAAGTATTAGCACCCCACTGTGTCTCTCTGATCGCCTGGGACCCACATGGCTACAACAGCACTGCACACAACAAAGGAAGCTCTCTGGAGCGATCATTGTCTTATATTCTTTTATTATGGATCCTCCTATTCATCTTGTCTCTAAGGTAACAGTCCCACTCTTTTCCATTGCTCTTTACAGGAGAGTTTTTCCAAGCCCTTGAGCATTTTCCTTGTCCATCTCTGAACCCCGCTAGCTCTGTGCTGTCCTGTGGGAGGTGGGCTGGCTGCACGTTGCGGTCAGATGGGGCTACACCATTGACTCATCATTGCAAGGTCATGTTTTTCTTATTATTCTTCATCCCTTTCCTTATGCCTCCTGACGACATGCTGGCTTTTGTAGAGGGTTTCATTGCACTGTCTGCGATGAAACCCACTTCCCTGGCTTGGGTTGACAGTGTATTTTGAAGGCTTGTTTAGTGTCCTCTTGTGGGGACCTTAGTCAAAGGCCTTTTGAAAGTCAACCTTTTCTCCTGGATCCAGTACTTTATTGACACAGAAGTCTAAGAGATTAGTGACAAAGTATTTTCCTTTGCCAAATCCATGCTGCTCGGACCCTATCATGTCATGGTCTTCCAGTTGTTTTGTTAATCTATTTTAATTAGCATTTTGACCAGTTTACCCAGTTCAGAGGCAAGGCTTACTAGTCTGTAATTCCTTGGGTCACCCTTTGTAACAGGGTTGCCTGCCCCTTTAAAGGCTAGGGGGGCTGGAGCCAGCCAGCAATGTTCAGTTCTCAGACCCAGCTGGGAAGGAGTCAGGTGATCTCCATAACAGGCAGAGAGACTCTGTTGGAGAGGTGCTGCAGGAGGGAGATTTGCTCCTGTGGCTGCCCCAGAGCAGAGCGAGGCACACAGTGAAAGGTCAGTGAGGTGTCAGGCCTTGCTGGGCTGGAAGCCCTGCCCATGGAGAGAATGCAGGCTGGCAATCAGCCCTGGGAACTGAGGGGAAACTGAGGCAGCAGAAGAGAAAATGAAAGCAGCTACACAAAGTAATGGCAGATGTGAAACATAAGAACAGCCATACTGGGTCAGACCAATGGTCCATCTAGCGCAGTGTCCTGTCTGCTGATAGTGGTCACTGCCAGATGAACAGAACAGGGGCAATCATCATGTGATCCATCCCCTGTCGTCCACTCCCAGCTTCTGGCAGTCAGAGGCTTAGATGTTGCATCCATGACCATCTTGACTAATAGCCATTGATGGAGCTATCCTCAATGGACTTAGCTAATTGGTTTTTTTTTTAATCCATTTATAGTTTTGCCTTCACAAAATTCTCTGGCAACGAGTTCCAGAAGTTGACTCTGCGTTGTGTGAAGAAATACTTCCTTCTGTTTGTTTTAAACCTGCTGCCTGTTAAATTAATTTGATGACCCCAGTTCTTGTGTTATGAGAAGGAGTAAATAACGCTTCCCTGTTCACTTTCTCCACCCCAGTCATGATTTTATAGACCTCGATCATATCGCCCCTTAGTCGTCCCTTTTCCACGCTGAAAAGTCCCGGTCTTTTTAATCTCTCCTCATATGGAAGCTGTTCCCCACCCCTCATCATTTTGTTGCTCTTCTCTGCACCTTTTCCAATTCCAATAGATCTTTTTTGAGATGGGGCGACCACATCTGCACGCAGTATTCCAGGTGTGGGCGTACATTGGATTTATCTAGTGGCATTATGATATTTACTGTCTTATTATCTATCCCTTTCCTAATGGTTCAAAACATTCTGTTCGCTGTTTTGACTGTCGCTGCACATTGAGTGGATGTTTTCAGAGAACTATCCACAATGACTCCAAGATCTTCCTTGAGTGGGAACAGCTAATTTGGATCCCATGTGTTTGTACATATAGGTGGGATTATGATTTCCGATGTGCATTACTTTACATTTATCAACACTGAATTTCATCTGCCATTGTGTTGCCCAGTCACCCAGGTTTGAGAGATCCTTTTGTAGCTCTTCGCAGTCTGCCTGGGACTTCATTATCTTGAGTAGTTTTGTATCATCTGCAAATTTTGCCACCTCACTGTTTACCCCTTTCCCAGATCCTTTATGAATATGTTGAATAGGACTGGGCCCAGTACAGATCCCTGGGGGACACCTCTCTGCATTCTGAAAACTGACCATTTATTCCTTCCCTTTGTTCCGTGTCTTTTAACCAGTTACCAACCCAGGAGAGAATCTTCCCTCTTATCCCATGGCAGCTTCCTTTGCGTAAGAGCCTTTGGCGCGGGACCTTGTCACAGGCGGTCTGAAAGTCCAAGTACACTCTGTCCCCTGGCCCCCTTTGCCCACAAGCTTGTTGACCCCCCGCTCAGTGAATGGCAATATAGTGGGGAGGCCTCGTTTCCCTTTACAAACGCCATGTTGACTCTTCCCCAACAAATCCCATTCACCTCGTAGCAGACAGGGCTGAGGTGCTAGAACTTGGGGTGCTGGGGAGCTGCTGCACCCCACGGCTTGAAGTGGTTTCTGTTATATAATGGCTCTAGCACCCTGGGCTGGGGCTTGCCTGGTGACCTTCCCTGTTGATTTTTATAGGATGAAGGGACAGGACGCAGCTGCCTGCCAGCAGGTGGCACAGCAGGATCACACCCAAGGTCCTCCTGCAGCATCAGCAACGGGAGCGGCTCCTGAGGAACCTCGAGCAGCGAGCCGGAGAGAGTTGTGCTGGGCCTCGGTTTGCCGCCCTCCATCCCGGTGAGGAAATGCAGGAACCGCAGCCAATGGGAGCTGCGGGACAGCGCCTGTGGTCAGTGGCAGCATGCAGAGCCCTGTAGCTGCCCCTCCACCGAGGAACTGGAGGGACATGCCGGGAGCCGTCTGAGGTAAGCGCCACCTGGAGCCCACGCCCCAACCCCCTCCCGCACCCCAACCTCCTGCCCCAGCCCAGAGCCCCCTCCAGTACCCAAACTCCCTCCCAGAGCCTGCAACCCACACCCCTTCCTGCACCCCAACCCCCAGCCCTGAGCCTCCTCCCATATCCAAACTCCCTCCCGGAGCCCGCATCCCTCACTCCCTCCCACACCCCAACCCCCTGGCCCAGCCCGGAGCCCCCTGCCACACTCTTAACCCCTCTGCCCCAGCCCGGAGCCCCCTCCTGAACCCTGAACCCCTCATTCCTGGCCCCACCCCAGAGCCCTGACCCCCTCTCGCACCCCAGCTCCCTGCCCCAGCCTGGTGAAAACGAGTGAGTGCGCGAGGGTGGGGAAGAGTGAGCGACGGATGGAGGGGGGTGGAGGGAGTGGTGGGCATGGCCTGAGAGAAGGGGCAGGGCAGGGGCAGGACCTCGGGGAAGGAGTGGGGCAGGGGTGTTTGGTTTTCTTGCTATTAGAAAGTTGGCTACCCTAAAGCCAGCAGCTTGTACCCCAACGGCCTTATTTAAGTGTAGGTGCAGCTTTCCCCACCGTCCAGCCTTTTGGGGCAGGAGCTGGTTTCAGAGAGCGGCATATTGTCATCAGCTCACCTGCTTCACACGCAGGCTCCTCAGAAGCCCCAGGCCCAGGGACTCTGCTTGTTAACTGATCTGTCTGGTCCAGCCCCCCTGCTTCTGGCCCCTCAGTCTCAGACGGGTCCTCGGCTTTACTACCAGGAGAAGCCGGGCTGTGGTAGGAACCTCCCCAGCATCCTCTGGGCTCCCTGACTTCGAGAAAGGGGCAAGGCAGGAGGCTGGGGATTTCAGAGCAACGAGCTTTAATCGGCCCCTGGCAGACTGGCCGAAGCAATAGATGGTTGTGACACGAATGGGACAAACTAGCCCAGCTTCTGCGAAGGAAAATCCTGCCTCAGGAGCCTCCAGGACTCCTCTGAGCATGTCAGGGCACAGTGGATAAAGGAGAACCCGCCAGTATAGTGTCCTTGGGCTTCCGAGCACCGACGGGGAAGCTAAGTAGTGCTGGGGTTAGAGGCAAAGTGCTGTGCTGGCTAAGTCAGAACGCGAAGACGAGGCGTGAATCGCCGGTTTGAACACGGTGAAAGACTGACAGTGGGGCATCCCCAGGTTCTGTGCCAGGCCTCGCCTGGTGAAATAAATTAATGCCCTGGAACATGGGCTCACAGGGATGGGGCAGAATTCCCAGGTGACAACCTTATTTTGGTTAATAAAAGCAGAAAGGACCATGAGGAACTTCAGAGGGACCTAACCAAGCCAGGCGAACGGGCAGCAGGGTGGCCGGGGAATTCCGTGTGTCAATGCTCAGAAACGTATGATAAAGAGAGTCACTTGACCTGCTCCTACAGCTCTCACGGTACTGGTTTAACTCTCGACGCAGGACAAATTCCAGGGTATCACTTTGGGCACCTCAGTGAAATCTCTGCTCCGTGAGCAGCAGGGGCCCGGGCCAAAGACACAAACCAAATGGAGATGGGCTGTGTGACGGAGTGGGACTGTTCTTGATGTTTCCTCTGAGTATTGTGGGGGTGCCTCAGTTTCCCCTGTGCAGTTCTTAAGTATCTAGGTGGTGGGGTAAGGGTGTATGATCATTGCAGAGCCCTAGAGGGCAGGTGTGTGCAGGAGTCTGGACACAGAGAATGGCTGACACCCTGTTTCCTGGCAACTGATGGCCTGGGCCCTTCCCCCCTGCCAGGTGAGAGCTAAAGGGTTGGAGAACAAAGGAATCCAGTGACCTCCTGGCCCGGGAAAGGGGAAAGCCCAGAGGAGGAGGGGCTGGAGGGAGTTTTCAGTTTGGGGCTGACTGGAACATGGAGTGAAGGGCAGACGGGGTTGTCTGGCTCACTGCCCCCCAAAATGGACCCAGCTGAGGGGTCCTGTTCTCTGCACCTACAAGCTCTGTGTTAGACCATGTTCCTGTTGTCTAATAAACCTCTGTTTTACTGGCTGGCTGAGAGTCACGTCTGACTGCGGAGTTGGGGGGCAGGACCCCCCTGGGTGGACTCGCTGTGGGAAGCGCACGGAGGGACAGAGGATGCTGAATGCTCCGAGGTCAGACCCAGGAAGGTGGAAGCTGTGTGAGCTGTGTGTCCTGCAGACATGCTGCTCACAGGAAGGCGACTGCCCCAGAGTCCTGCCTGGTTTCATGGGGAGCAGTTCCAGAGAATCGCCCAGGGACTCCGTGACAGGCTGGGATGGAGAATTATATGGAAAATATCCGAATGACTCTTAATCATTGGAACACCCACCTGGTATACAGCTCTGCTCACCCCGTCTCAGAAAGGACACCACAGAAACAGAGGGGTCAGAGACGGGCAGTGAGAAAGATTAGAAGCTAAAGAGACTCCCTAGGTTGGGTTAGGGTGCAAAGACAGGAACTGTTTATCTTAAAGAGACAACATATAAGAGGGATGTGAGTCACAGATCAAGGCCAGAAGGGACAATTGTGATCATCTAGTCTGACCCCCTGTACAGCATGGGCCATAAGACCAGTCTGACCCTCTGTACAGCGTGGGCCCTAGGACCGGTCTGACCCCCTGCACAGCACGGGCCCTAGGACCAGCCTGACCCCCTGCACAGCACAGGCCATAAGGCATCCCTGGCTTAATTCCTGCTTGATGACCAGATCTTTTAGACTAACGTCCAGTTCTGATTTAAACGTTGGCAGGGACAGAGAATCCACTACGGCGCTTGGGAAATTGTTCCAATGCTTAATGGCCCTCACTTAAAATTTGTCCTTTATTTCCAGTCTGAATTGATCTAGTTTCATCTTCTACCCACTAGATCGTGTGATACCTTTGTCTGCTAGATTGAAGACCCTTCTATTCACAACTTTCTGTTCCTCACATAGGTACCTACAGACTGTGATCAAGTCACCCCTTTACCTTCTCTTTAAGCTGAACAGATGGAGCTCCTGGAGTCTCTCACTGTCAGGTGTGTTTTCCAATTCTTTAATCATTCTCCTGGCTCTTCTCTGAACCCTCTGCAATTTTCAGTCCTTCTGGAAGTGTGGACAAGTTGTAAATTATCTGGGTCCACAGACTTAGAAATGTTTAGCTGCTGTGTGACACTCTCCCAGCTACTGATGGACTAGAACGTGTTTCCTTGTCACTGTCAGAGATGAGCAGAGGATCCGGCTTCTTTCCTAACACAGAAGTAGCCAGGGAACTCATCTGCCATTTCTGCTGCACGACTGACCGTTGTATCAGCCAGACCAGTGCCAGGATTTAACTTGTTCCTCAATGGGCACCTCTCAGCTGTCGGGGTTGGAGCACGCCCAAGACACCAGCTACCAGAGCGATCAGGTCCCAGAGCAAGGTGACAAACACCTGCCAGCAGGATTCATTGTTGGGGCAGCAAGGACCCCCAGGTACTCAACAGCCTCCTTGCCGTAAAAGGGGCTCGGATTAATTCCTTCCCAGCCTCCCCATGCTGCAGCGGGAGGGACACAGTCTGGGGGATCAAGAGGCCCCCAGGCAGTGCGTAGCTTTGGTAGGATGCTGCCATTTCCAGAGTGTCAACACAAAGCAGCTAAAGGAGGCACAAAGATCCTGCCGCAGGTCACTGGCCTGCCCTCCCTGGATGCTGTGGCCAGGGCCTCGCTGCGGTTTTCTGTACTGATAATTGCCCAGGGACGCTGTGCCACCAGGACCTCTGCAGTCAGTGTGGAAGGGCTCCTGGCAGGTGGGTGCAGCACTGCTGAGGCCTCTGAAACAAAGCTCTTAGCCCCTTGCAGAGCGGGCCCTGTCTGATCTCCTCTGGGAGGTGTGAGGCTCCATCCGGCTCCCACTCAGTCTCATCAGCCAGACTCCCCCACACCCCCTGAGCGGCAGTCCCAAGCACTGTGGGGGTTTGCTCTGCAATGCACAGGGCATGTCTGACTTGCCCCACATTCGCCATGGGTGCCAGACACGACTGATGAGCAGCCGGGGCTCATGGATGGTGCACGTTGGGCTCGGATGCCGCTCGCTTTGAGACGGACTGGCAGCCTGGTCTGGGGCACAACTGCCTCCTTTCTCAGGGACTCCTGAAAGCCTGGGTCCTTGCTAGAAATACTTCAGGGGCCTATTTCGCTGGGGTTCTCTGCTGGTGCCGCTCACTGTGGTATCCGAGCACCTGCCACGTGGGATTGGTTAGGGAATAAAGCGACCGAGCCCCGGGGCTTTGCCTGGCCCTGATGGACTCTGGAAGCTGAACAAGAAATGCTGGCCTTCCTTCCGGACCGGAGCACTGTGCCCTAGACAGCCGGACTCTGAAAAGGACGCAGGGTCAGAACGCACAAGAGCTCAACAAGGGCTCCCACACGGTGCTGCAGCCCAAAGAGCTAATGCAGCGCCTGGATGCATAAACAGCGGAGTACCAAGGAGGAGTGGGGAGGTGATTCTGCCCCTATATATGGCCTCGGTTAGACCAATCCTGGGTCCTGCGTCCAGGGCTGGGGGACACATTTTAAAAAGAATGTTGAAAAATTTGAGAGGGTACAAAGAAGAGCCACAAAACTGATTCCAGGTCTGGGAAAAATGGCTGATAGTGAGAGTGTTAAAGAGCTCGATCTGTTCAGTGTATCGAAAAGAAGATTTCAAGTGACCTTGGCAGGGTACTAAGGGCTCATTAACCTAGCAGGGACAGGCAGAACGAGAACCAACGACTGAAACCTGGAGCCAGACAAATTCAAATCAGAAATTAGGCAGAAATTTGTACTGGTGAAGGCGATGAACATTGGCGTTGGGATATTTTTACAAGGCTGCTGGTGTCTCTGAGAGGCTAGGATGGGGAAGCTGAGTTAGAGACGGGCCCTGGGCCAGATCGGGGGAGATATTGGCATGTGGGTGCAGTGGGGGGTTTCCCTTTATCCAGAGCGATGCAACGTGGCACGCAGGGCCCGTCTCTTGTCAGCGAGTGTGGCCCGGGGGGGCGTGCAGGCGACGCTGCCAGGGA